GTCCTGACATGGTAGGAGCAGGTGCGGTAGGTGGGGGCGAGGGTGGTTGTTCGGAGGGTAACTCGCCAAGGTCGGGGAACTCGTCTTCAGGCGGCGGAAGGGCAAGGTAGGGGTTGGAGGGTCCAGGTTGGTTTTGATGCGCCAGATCGGGCGACGATGGTAGGATGGGAGGAGGAGACGGACTCCCAGACGACGATGGGAATCGGAACGAAATGGTGGATTCGTGTGCTGTACAAGCACTCGAGGAAAGGTTCTTTTGCTAGCAAAAAGATCCCGGGCCTAGCTCTTCACGTGCCCGATGATCCCGAGGTGCGTTTTCCCGAAGGTCTCCGCAGCACTCCTTGTAGCTACCGTAAGGCTTGGGTCGGGCTCAACGTTACCCGTGGCCTGGTGCTGTTTGCTCGATATGAACCCTTCACTGCGATCGCAGAGAACGACTAGATGATTCGGTAAAAGGGTAAGTGGGGTGATAAGGGTGAAGAGGATATAGCGGGCGTAGCGGTGCGGGATGCAGGGTAAGAGGTATGAGGTAGGAGGGTATGAGGGGAGTCTTCGAATTATGTGACAATCAACCCAAAAACAAAGTCGAAAAGAGAAGTGAATTCGAAGACTGGAGAATACAACCAAGTAGCTACAGTATTTATACCAAAATCCAGTCTGAGTCATATCTACAACTAATGAGTCATAGGGCTATGTACCGCATGGAACACTGGTCATGGGTTGTAGTAGAACCTTCTGGAGCATATGTCGCGCAGCCTTGAATCGATAAAGATGACCCCTATCCCCCTAGCCCGGACCGTCTGATGCCGTGATCCGCGATAAGATAATCCGTGTCGAGATAAGATAAGATTGTTGAGGATAAGATGAAAAAGAGTCGAATTATGACAGAGCGCTCTCGGATCCTATAGGTGAATCTGAAATTGAAGACCAGCATATTGCACTGGAGAACTTCGCGGAGATTCAGCAAATGAAATCGGAATACTACTCACCTTCAAGTCTCCAGGCGCATTGCTTCTTACTGTGTCACCCTGGGCTGAAGGTATGATTCTAATCATCATGTAATGATTTGGTCTATGTTGTACTTATTTGCATGGTCCCTAGGTGAAGACTGCTGCTCCTTTTGAGGAATGCTGTGCCAAAGCTCTCAATCTGACAGTGACCCACCAGTACTTTGAAATGATCTCCTTTGTCATCTCTGAATACAATATTTAGCCAAGCAATATTTACAACATGGACAACAAGGGGATTCAGTCAGGAGTTGCTGGCTGGGTTGCTGTTGTTGTGGATTGCAACTGTCGCAGACAATATTGCGCAGTAGAGATATAACCAGTAGCAATCATCTCAAGACACAGAGTCTCAGCAAGTGTAAGACACAGGAGCTATGCATTAGCTGTACCTAAAGACACAGAGTCTATGGTACAAGTCATAATTAAGGGTCATTAGATTGTAAGGGAGAATGCATACCTCAGCAAGTGTAAGACACAGGAGCTAAGGATATGGAGCGTATAGCACTAGGTTTATATAGCATTCTGGAGCAGATATCATGATGTCATAGTGGAGTAATGATATCATAGATGAGTAATGGATGACACAACAATGAGGTCAGGCATGAGGTCATTGTGGAGCGAGCCAAAGTAATCTAAGAATACTACATATGATGTCATGTCTACATACTGTGATAGTTGCCAATACAAACAAGCTTCAACAGCAACCAGCGGAACATTCAAACTATTGCCAATGGCAACTGGGAACTTGTCACAATCATTGAGTGTATCTGTGCTGATAGTGAGGTGCTTGATCCTTCCGTTGTCTACCAGGGCCTCCAACATGATAACTGGTGGGCTGAAAACAATCTGTGTAATGTCAGGTCTGTGCATGTCCTCTTCATCAAGGCACAGTTAACGAATTCAACTCATAGTATCTCTATCTCACCTAATAGATGGATGGACCAAGAACTGGGTACTCTATGGCTCAAAAAGGATTTTGATCTCCAGAACACCACATGCTTGGAGAATCTGATAGACTATTGGCTCCTCATTCTTGATAGCCACAACAGCCATTGTACGTATGACTTTGTCTGATTTGCAAGAGACAAAAAGATCATTGTTGTTTGCCTCCTGTCACACACTACTCATGCCTTGCAGCTGTGTGATGTTAGTGTGTTCAGGCCACTTGCAAGGTACTGGAAGAAACAAGTCTTGAAAGTGCATTAGCTGTAGCTTGTTTACAACTATACTATCTCATATGTTTGAATAGCAAACTGTGGCAGGAGTTGTCATTGATAAGTACAATCTCATCTACAACTACAATCAAGCCTAACATTCTGCATTCAAGAAGCAAACCATTGTAAACACCTTTTGAAAGTGTGGTATCCGGCGGTTGCTTTTCCTAGTGGTCAACACGCGGTCTCTGAGTAAATCGGAGAACCCTGGGTCTGCGAGAGCAGAAGTTCGAATCCCAGTCAAAAATCCACTTTGCGGGAGGTTTGGTGGGTATTATCATGTGATCGAGTCCCACACTGTTTGATCTTCGTGATCATTCGCGCGTAAACAGCGTTCCTACCCTTGGGGGAAGTCCTCGGACTTTCCAACTTTGCGGATCAAAGGGGCTAATCAATTATTAGCTGCCGGAGGTCGAAACCAACGCACAACCAAAAAAAAAAAAAAAGTGTGGTATCCATCCACTAAATAAAGCAACCATACCCAAAGAGCTTTTTGCACCCTCAAAGAACTATCCTACTACACAGGAAGAGTCAATTCTTGAGGTCGTGCTCCCGTCATTGCTTATTCCCGTTAACAGACACAAGAAGAATCTGCTAACGTGCTTTTTGCTGCTCCAATGGAGGAATCTTTGACCACATCATTGATTGCATCTTCAGCCTCTTCATCAGCTGCTCTATCAACGTCAGATCTGGCTTCAGCCCAGTTATCAGTCGCTCTGTTCATGTTGTACCTGTCATTAGTCACTCTATATATAGTAGACAACACAGCATCAGTCACATTACTGACTTCTACATCAGAGACACTATCTACAACCTTAATAGCAATGTTAGAAGGCTCTGCATGTCTCCTGTCCCTTTACTGCATTGCACTGCCTGCTTGACTCCCTTTCAGTACGTCAAAAGCTCAGATTGCTGAGTTGAGAGGAATTGTGGAGACAGCTAGTCAAGGGCTCAAGAGGAACCATGCTCAAATGGTCTTAATGGAGACAGAGCATCAACATGTTTAGCAGCAGCGCTACAACAGGAAGAAGGAATGTCAAGCCTATAACACAGGTGCTCTGTGGTTGATGACAAGTGAGGAGATGGTAGATGCACTGTTGCATGATGACCAGAAGAAGAGGATGACTGTGCTGCACAAGAAAATGAGGAAGAAGGTGACAGAGATAAAGAAGAGGGTAACCAAGTATGAGAAGGAGACACAGGCAGCAGAAAAGGCCCTGGAGAAGGCAAAAAAGTCAGTAGTGAAAGCAGCTCAAAAGGCAGCAAAGGCGGCCGAGAAAGCAGCTGCAAAGGTGGCAAAGATAGCTGCAAAGGTGGCAAAGACGACTGAGTGTGGTTGGCGTTGTGGCCATGGCCATGGCCAAGGTCGGGGGTGTGAGAGCAGTAACAGCCTAGGTCAGTTGTTATGGAGAGGGGAAGAGAGGAACCAGTCACTCAAAGTTGAAGGGAATCAGTGGGAGGATGACAAAGACACCAGTAGGAGTGGTGATAGCAACAATGAAAGTGTGGACTCTCATGACTCCACACACAACTCCTCACATGACTTGGATATATCTGAAGGTAGTGGCATCATTTTGAGCGCTGCTGGACCCCCACTGACATCAGCAGAGGATGAAGGTGACAGTAACTTGTCTGAGGACAAATTCAACAACAAAAGCTTGGAAGAGATTGGAATTGTAGGTATAAATGGATACTGGTGGCGCCAGAGAAAACATCATCACTTCATGGTCCTGTAGACTGACAAAGCCACAACTTGGGAACTGCTAAGGGTGTATTTCTGTGCTTTTACAGAGTTTACTCTTGAACCACTCAGTGTATCATGTTGCGGGTGCCAGTGTTGCGCTCAGTAGGACTTAAGGGTCTGCTGCCCAGTCAATGACTGTGGATAGTGTCAACAATGGCAAGGCAGTCAGACTACTACTGTGGAATTGGTCTTATAAGTCTATACAGTAGAACTGTTCATACGGAATACTGTGATAAGGAATAAAGGTCATAAGGAATACAATTTGGTTACCCCGTTTTGCCCTTCACCACTGAATTTGACACCTCATATGGAATATCTGTGATAAGGAATACAAATCTGGGATGGCCTGGGCCTTCCCAAAATTATTCCCTATTAGCAGTTCTACTGTACCAGACTCAGGGCTAGTAGTGACGGACACTCGATAGGGGTAATAAACGTCTGCCAGTAGATTAATTCAATTGACTTACTTGCAGCTTGCAGACTTAAAGCAGCATGGTATGTACAGAGTTTCAGAGTGAAAGGATTAGCAGCATTATAGCAGCATGATTGATGTGACATATCACACCAGATTTGGTAGCAGCTTTATGTCAGCACGGTAGTGTCACACCCTCGATCTCATTGACTTAGTCATGCTTTGGGCGTGCTGTGTCTGTATTCAAATTGCTAATCCCGCCGCTCTAGTCTATCATTGAGGAAAATCAAACTACATGTTGAAGATTAGATTAGATCGAGCAGCTTCGGCCTTCGGGCAACTCACATATTGATTACTAACAGACTGGAAACCCATGGACAGTTACAGAACACTCTAGATAGCCTAACGTACAGTATATAAGCAACCTGTAATTATGCAGAAGGGCATTGGTTTGCCCTAAAGCAATTCCATTCACTGCTATTGCAAACCTCTTCTCTCTTTATTTTATTCCCGCGCTCCCTTAACTCCAACACTACACAAGTCCTTAAGGTATTAGGGGTCCTGACTTGACCTAGAACCCGGCAGGAATATTGGATGAGGGTTGAACAGTCCAGCAAGGGAAACTATTTCTCTGAGGGAGCAGCCTCTTGATCCCCTCTTACACTGGAGCTTTTACTCGGTGTGTCATCCATGGTTTGGGCAGCCTTGACTTTTTTCACGGCCCATCCTCCTTCGTAGCCGAACCACGTGAAGCGACCACAATGTGGCCCGCGCACAAGCAGGACAATCAGAATCCAGCCGTAGAAGCCCATATTGAGAGCCGCGGCTGCCCGCCAGCCGTATGCCGTGTACACCTTGGTCCCTGCGGCCGTGCCCATCAATTGGCCAATGAACAGCTTGATGAGAATTCAATCACAAGAACGGATCTCTGATGGCATTGAAAATCCACACACCGACAGCACGAATAGGGCGTTCAACCTTGCTCTCGCAGCTGTCGAAATTCTGATGCAATCACGTTGGATCATGGGTAAATGATTTCCAGTGAGAGATGACGCACTCGAATACGGCTGCCGCCAAGGACATCTGCAGCGACTGACGGAACATGTCGAGACCAATTATAGCAATGACGACCACCGCCACACTCATCGTCTCCGCAGCAGTCTGGATCGCCTGGAACGATAGCAGGAACAGAATCGAGCACATGGACGCGTACCAGGGCATCAGCCCGTCGATCAGCTTGCCAAACAGCGGCCCGCAGACGACACTAAGGATCCCGATCAAACCAAAGAGCCCGATCGTTAGCGTCGAATAGAAGTACGGCGCGCCGCCGAGAAGAAAGGTGAGTGTGACCCAGAAGTTGGTGAAGCATGCGCATGAGGCGAGGTTGACGAGGCAGGCCTGGACTAGGATCGGTTCGGTGACGGCGAATCGAGCCATCGAGGAGAGGATTTTGAAATACGTCAGGTCCGTATTTTTGGCTGGGTAGTCTGGGATGATGAGGTACCCTGCGAGGAGAACGAAGACTTGGACGCCGATGGCGAGGTAGTACCTGATGTAGGATCAGCACAGCCGTATAATCTTCTCAAGAGCAACCCACACCACCCGCCACGATGTGAATTGGCCGATGATCCCAGCAATGACTCGGGCCACGAGGACACCGAGAAGTAAGCCGGAATAAACGATGGACAGCGCCGATCCTCGGCGTTCTGGCGGGGCTAGATCGGCTGCGAGAGGCTTGACTGAATTAGCAACGTGAAACTCAGCTGAAAGAACGCAGCGTACGTACGATCATGATCTGCGGTGTGAGCGATACCATGCCGATGAGAAAGGACAACGCCTCGAACACGACAATGTTCTTAGTAACGGCCACCCCCACGGTCAGACTGGCAGAAACGAGAGTGAGAGTCAGGATGAGCTGACGTCGGCGAACGAGATCGCCCAGGGGGGAAATGAACAAGATGCCTGTTGCATATCTGGACAAATCCTTCAGCCGTAAAACTCGAGGGTGATGGCGGTGACTCGCCCTGCCTGCAGCAGCGTCGGTATCTGAGAAACGCGATCGTAATCCACCCCAAACGACTCGGAGAACTGGACTACGCGACGTTAGAGCATGTAAGCCGACTTTTTTTTTTTGACCCGAAAACTCACTCAGTAGCGGCTGAGGACAAACCAACTCAGCGCGGCGCGTCAGAGGAACGTAGGCAGACATACTTGACAGTAATACAAATTGGCCACTATGAAGGTCGCGGCGAATCCGAATAGGACATTCAGCACCATGGTAAACACGAATGGTCGCGCCGGGTCATAACGCAGGCGCCGTGGGATGGGGAGTATACCGCAGTCGAAACTGGGACCCACAGCAGAGGGAGACGACATGGAGAGGTAGGACGGAGAGGAAGCAGGACCGTGTCCTATTTTAATCGTCCAGTCCTGGGTTTGGCGAGTGACGCCAGTCAAAAAACCTGATATATGGTCACAGTCACCGGCGCGAATCTGCACCCATAGTGCTAGGATTTATCATATGGCTATGGTGCTAGCCATAGGAATTCCATCTTAACGTATGGTACTAGCCATGGCATGGCTAGCACCATGCGTTTCACTGCCATCTGCACGGGACACATGGTCATACACCGCCACCTCATTCCCGTCTAGGACAGCATCTGATTTACCATCAGCTGCCGTTGCTCTCAGCGTTGATGGCGGCTGATGGCGGGTTCATGCTATCAATTCGGATGGCGGGCACACAATCATATCTAATCTTGTGGGTTTCGCACAATCATATCTAATCTGGCGGGTTTCAAATGCCCGTTACTATTGAATGAACGCATATAATGATATCTAATCGATAGTAGATACATCTGTGGCAATCTTATCGAGCATGATGTCCTGGCGCTCCTCGTCATACCGAATGTGTCCGATGCGGCCGCCCCAGCTGATCCTCAGATGCTCCTGAAGGCCAGAATGCCACGCCGCCTGCTTCAGAGCATATGCTCTAGCTCCTGCTTCGATGTACAGATCCCAATCCTCCCTTTGCCCCTGCCGCTTCGACCACCAATCAGATTGCCACCCCAGGTACGCACACACTCGACGCATTTCCTCCTTGAGCATCACAACCTCCTCAGACCATCGATCGCGTCGAGCACGTGCTCGGGCCCATTCCACACGAATAGCTTGAAAAAAGTGAGTTCCACGGATCACCCCACAGCATGATCGCTCACAGTCATGTAGATGCTGTTCTTGCTTCTCGAGCGCGCCCTTTGCGGTCCATATCCATGACATTGTACGCTTCGACGCACCAGCCTCGTGTCGCGGAGCCCGCCCCGCACCCAACGCCGCCAACTTCTTGGCGGCTGATGCATCGCTGCCTGCGGCGTCATCTCCGGCAGCTACAGACACGCCGTCCATGTGCAGGTCTTCTTGGGCGAGCTCTCGCAGATGGGGGAAATCGGAAATCTTGCCCGCCGTGACCAGCGCTGCTCGACCGGTCCGATACCTCGCCGCCCAAGCATTCACCTTCTCCCCAACCTCGTCGATGATTGTCCGAGCCTTGATCGAATGCACCTGGCCCGTGACGTTGGCATTGCGAAAGCTGATGAGATGTCGCTTGGCATGCAGACGAGCGCGGACCTGACCCAGGCTGTTCTCGCATTGCCCGACTCTGAGGCGAACCTCCATCCCCAACAGCCCAAGCACACATCCGCGGTCATCACCCAAGCTTGCCGGCATAGCACTGGGCATCCAAATCTTGATATTCTCTGGCAACGGGGCAACTGCGGGCTCCGCATCACGAATCAAGGCAGCGGCCGCTGGCATGAACGTGGGCTGGAGCTCCCGGAAGCGGGCGATCTTGACGAGCACTGCACGCCGCCACTCCTCAATTCGGTTGGCACGATCCGGGTGAATGATAGTTGTTCCGGCAACCTCCAGACGTATACGCCTCCTGTGTTGCCATCAGTATGCAAAGCCTCAATTGACTAAAGAAGACGTACTGCGTGTCCTCGATTTGAATTCCAGCAGTGAGAAACGCCGTGCCAGTCTTCCCGCTCATTGGCATGCAACCCTCAGCAAGCAAGTGTTCCTCCTCCTTGCGCACGTCCAATCGTACCTGAGCTTCCGAAACGCACACTACATTCCGGGAGGGTCAGATAAATCCAGAGGAACAACAGCAGACATACCAGAGGAGTCCAGGACATATGGGTTTGGCTTCCTGTTGTCCGCAAGCCACGCGTCAATATTCATGGTCCACTCCTTCATCACCGAGGTTGGTACAGACGCGCTGACATCGGCAAATGCGTCCACCTGTATCTTGCGCTCGGCCTCCGCAATCTTCAGCCGTCTGGGGAGTGTGTGTGCTGGCATGTGGTCAATGACATGAGATCTGATATACAACGGTACTCACCGAGACCCAGATTCTTCATGAAGTTGTTGTGGTCGATTCTCTCTTCCAGAATGTCTGCCCTCATTCCCAGCCCAGCTGTTTTTGTTGCGTAGCCCGTCGGATTCAGCGTCGACCATACCCGCTCTATTCCCTCCCCATCCGTCTTCCCCACACCCCGTTTGAAGGAAAGGCTGTTTGCGTTTTGACATTCACTGTTGTGCGATGAGGCATGCCAGACAGGCAGTCCACACTGAAGAGTGATGTCGTCCAGAGAGAGGTGGAGGTCAGGCGGCAAACGTTGCATGCGTTCCTGCAGCTTGTTCTTCCATTGGCATCCAATGTCGTAGGATGGAGTGAGCGCCTGCAGGTCGAACCCACTTAGGGCAGAGAATGCAATAAAGTCCATATTTGCATATCTGGGGCCGACATGAGCCTGAAAACTGCACTGCATGGGATGACTCACCGCTCGCCCTTTTGTAAATCACCAATACCGTTCGGACGCATGCACTCATGTCGGGCGCATACACATCCACCAACTCCAGATATGCGTAGTCCCGTTGTCAGGCGAGTATCCTTCTGGAGGAGAGCGGCAAACGTGATACATGTGCTGATCTGGTCAAGAGTCAATCCACATTTGACAAGCGAGCAAATAGGTGTACACACATCTTCTTCGGTGACGTAGGCCTTCCAATGGTCATTGTACGGGTCCGGCGGAACCCAGTATCCCCATCCTGGTCCTAACGAACAGTCCTCTATCTCATTTGCGCGTAGACGATTCTTGAGCCGAAAGTTCGCATCCAGAGCCAACAACAGCATGAACACGAACCTGAAATTTGTCAGCACGTGTACGCCATCTGCATTCTTCTTGATTCTCACCAAAACGATGGATGCGCATTCCTCCAATCGTTGGGCAGATTACGGCCTTGGAACGGACACGCCCAGCATATAACTGCACACTCTCCCGCTCTTGTACTCTCCACACCACACGGATCGTGCCCACGCCCTGCACGCATCAGGCGCAAGAGGAATGCCCATTGGCGAGCCATTCTTTGGAGCTGCTTGTATCGGTCCTGTGTAGGTTTTAGCGGGAATAAATCTGTCTGAATGATTCTCTGCACACCACAGTCTTCCTAATTCCTGTCTTTGCGCTGACATCCGTCATCTGCTCCAGGCATGTCATGAAATCTCTCGCGTTCAAGTTGCCGATCTTCTGGTACAAACGGAACGATTCCAATGTCTCAAACGTCGCACATGTCCCAGGGTCAATGGTCGTGGCAGGATACCACCCGTTCCTCAGCAACTGCTGTACGTTGTTCGCGTAGTCTGACTTGCTGCATTGACAATAACACATCCGAACCTGGTGGATGTATGGCGCGTGAATCACAACAATTGGCTGCGGTTTCTCGGCAGGAAATGGACATCGATGTCCTCCATGCCCCAGCTGGTACACCAAGCCAAGCTCGGCCAACGACACCCTGTTCCACCAATTTCCGTTCCATTCCTGTGACTCTTGCGTCAGGGGATATTGTGCCAGAGAAATCAGCTACGCACCTTGACTATGTGGAGTGGGAACGTTTTGTGACCGTCCAACAGGCATTTGCGGCACTGCAGGAACACTCCACAATCCGAGCACTTGAAGATTCCACGCTTTGGCTGTGCTTCCTTCACAATCTCTTCAGCAGCATTGGGTACCACCGTTGGCAGCGACTCAGATGCGGCTTTGGTGTCCGCGCAATCAGGAGTACCGGGCTCAAGCATCGAGTGGCATACAGCACACTCAGTGTTGGTCAACATGTCAGCGAGCCCCTCGTGGCAAAGCAGCTCGTCAAGGAAGAACGACATGTGTGGTCGCCACAATGCCATAGGGTTTGACTACACATGGCAGTCAGTCACCTGTCTGGCATGCGCTAAGCTTGTTTTCACTCACAGTGCTTGTACAGGTCTGCCGCCTTGTCTTGACAGCCTCTTCCACGACCTCGTCATCCGTCTCTGCATCATCCACCATCCCCTCGCTGGCATCGGCACTATCCTGCCACATTCCCTCATCTGTCGAATCCAGTAGCTCGGCAACATCCGGAATTGGTCGGCGGATGCCCTCCCCCCGAGCCAAGTCCAAGTCCAAGGTATGAGGCTCGTCCGTGCGTTTGCGCTTTCGACTGACATTGATCACTTCCCTTCTCTGCTTGCCCGTCTGTGACGAGATGTACACTGCAGTGTCCGCGCTCCAGGGCATGATGGGTCTTTTTACTGCCCTTGGTGCAGCTGGATTGTCTCGCGCTCGACGGCCAGCTTGGCGACGAGGAAGTGCCATAGTGTCGGCGGAAATGTAGGACAAGCCGCGAGGGACAAAAACAAATCCATTTCTTTGATTACCGCATTTGGACTGTAAACAATTGCCACATGCTGAAATTGACACGCGCTGAAATTGCCACATTGTACTGATATCCATCACTACGCAATAAATACTCCCAGTACCAGTCTAAGTACTTATATAAACTGGCTTGTGTGCATGGTCTACGATGCAGTGGTTCAGCCACGAATGGCTGCACGTTTCCGAGCTGATCATGACAACGTCATGGAGATGGAAGATGGTCGTGGTTGTGCTTACCATATGATTACGCAGCACGGAAATCCAGATGTATATATAGTTGCCTAAGTCACATGACTGTCTTGACAATGCTTGGCTGGCCGGAGAACCTCATACTCCTGTGGGTCATCCTCTGGTAACTCGCCCTGGAGCCCCTGTGCTATCATTTCCAACAAAGTCCGTTCCCTCTCTCGCATACGACGCTGGCGTTTATTTGCTATGTATTGTGCAAAGGCCTCGGCACCAAATTTGACGTAGTAGCACCTGGATAAGCATGAGCACTGTTGTAACAGTCGGAAATCCACGCACCAATTCCGCCGTTGAACTTCTCGAATTCTGAGATGGTAGCGATGACGTTCTCGATATCGTGCGTGATTCTCCCGAGCTCGTGCGCTGAATGCCTCCCGCACTTCTGCAGGCCCCAAGTCAAGTTCTGTGCGGCGGCTTTTTGATCATCGGTGCCTGAAGATAGCCATCCGGATCACTCTTACCGCGCCATCCTTTCTCGATTCCTCTGCCTTTGTTCTTCAACCTGGGCCAAAGGGGGTATTTGCGGTATAGCATTGGTGAACATTCTGTGAATGCGGCGTGGTAAGAGTTGTACGAATGATTCCAAAGATCACGTCGTTATTGTGACACGTCACCCATCGAAGTCCTGATCACTATCACTGGTTGCTCAGCCTGCACATGAATGCGAGGAAAGATGTATGATGCATAGAATGCGAGAACTACAGACTGTCAAACTACAGACTGTGAACTATACAGCACTACTGCTCCATTCAGCCAACACTTAGTACTGGTGTCTTAAAAGAGATTTGGGGACCGGAACTCACTCGTTACTTGACAACAAGATCCGAGACATCGGTTCCGGATTCATGGTTTGAGCCGCATGCCTCGCGTCCTCCACCGGAGCACTCTGCTTGGCAGTATTGTTGAGGCGTATGTTTTCCTCTGTTGTGAGGACTAAATCGTTGCCAGTCGCCAAAGCAAAGGTCACCCTATGAGGAGCAGTCAAATCAGTTACATGGGGGAAGGTGGACCACATACTCGAGGTACTCAGATTGCAGGAGACAAGGAGGAGAATGACAGAAAGCGAAGATGCACTTATCGTGGTCAAATCACCCACTTAGCATCACCCCACTTGCTAGCACCACTGTGTCCAGTTGCATGATCAGATTGAAGTAGAGACGTTGGCTATACAGCAGTAGTACCCTCCTGCGCAGCACGGCGCCTTTCGCGGGCCTTGAGCTTGAGTTTCTGTCGGTTGCTGGTGACGTGTCAGAGATTAGACCCACTCCATCTGAGCGGCTCACAGTTCTCGATACTTTGCTGCAGCCTGCCTCCGGCGCTCCTGGCGCTCTTCGTGTAAGGCGGGGTCCACACCAATGCTGTAGTAGATCCGGGACATAGCTTCCCGAGTCTTGCGACGAAGATAGTCCTTATTCCTAGAGACTGTCTGAGCGGGCTGCAAATGATGAGCAAAAGCAACATTGACGCACTTTTGCCTGTAGCGCCAACAATATATCCCATGTACAAAGGGTTCCGGAGCGCGGCGACCATTTCGTTTGGCTGTGGTCGGCAATGGCATTGCGAGGATGGTGGTGGTGGGGTGACAAAAAGACGCGGTCACATGGTGACATAACATCGCAAACCGGTTGCCGCCCCAATCCAATTGACTCATTTGACTTCCCATACCGCAATTTTGAAGATGCAGACCAGGGATTTGGTAGAGTATCATAAATAACATATAGCAATAGCCCTGTGCAAATATTCCCGGTGAAAAATTTGCAACAATTTCGGAGGCACAAAACTTTCAGTTAAGAGGTATTGTTCTGATACAGGATTATAAATTAGATTGGCAAAACGCATAACATCCTATGAAGCTCTGAGATTTAAGACACAAGTTCAGCAGTATATGAGGCATCAGGACCCAGGGTTTATATAACGGAAAGAAACGATGTCTGGCCTACACGAGCGCCCCAAGTCAAACTTGCACAGTGATACACTCCGAAAATGCGAGACTTGCCTTGCGCTCCCCAAAGCTATCACAGCTAAGGGACTTTGCAAGAAGATGAAGGAGGTAAAGAAAAATCTAGAAAACGAGTCTCCTGATGATTGAGGACCAGGGGAGTCCGCACTTGCCTTAATGTCTCGTGAGGCATTTGCATAGTGTCTGAGAGAGACACGCATTGGCTCATAAGAACGATAGCTGCTGAGCGTTTGGGATTTGACAGATATGAGAGTTTTGGTACAATGCATGTATATACCAATGCTCGCAGGGTTACACACTTTGGTTGGGCAGATCCAGCTGTGCGCACTGTTGAAAGGGACGGTTCTTAATATGGAAATGCCGTCGGCAAACGTCATAGCCGACATCAAACCTCACTCCGATTGTCCGGTCTGGATGATGACATGCATTCCGCACCCATTTTTGAATGAGATATGGACTATATACTATAGCAATAAGTTACAAAGTCAGAGTTCTTACCACGCCCTTCCGTTTCGCATCAGCAAACTTTGCCCTAGCAGCATCCTCTCCCTGAATACTCTCAAAAACCTGTCCAGGCACACCCGTGACATTCAACTGACTCTCCAGCGAGGAGCGATATACCCCAGGACGCAGGCCACGGTACACCACATACCAAACCTCATCATTGTCCGATTCCCCCCCGCTGAGTGGATTGTAAACTTCGTAGTCGTCGTCAGTGACTGGGATGGGTGGAATGTAGCGGAAGTGGTGAGGATCGTGCGATGATGTCCATCCCCGTTGTTGAGCGTAGAGAAACGCGGCCTCGGCTTCGACGCGGGACTTGTATCCACGATGGAGTGCGCATGGAAATCCGGTGACGTTCTCCTTGCACTCATCCCTAGCGGGCAATGAACAAATGAACCAATGAAACGCAAGCAGAATGCACCATGTATTGTAAACTCCTGATTTCCGCCCCACAAAGACCACGTATACAGTGGCACGAGCTCGCCTGGCCTTCTTCCGGGGAGAGAGAGATTGTACATGAGCGCCAGGAACATCCTGAGTCAGGGCTCCAGCAACGGACCTCGGGATGATGAGATGGACCAAGAAGGTCTTGGCACAGCTCGCTTACCAGTCATTTGTGAGACCGCTGAGACCGGGGGCTTGATAGCGATAGACAGTGGGCTGATTGGCGATCCTGCATCGGGTGAGGGCGGGAGGAGTGGGAATCCTAGGTGCCGAGTCGGGAGTTGAGGTCACAGTCCGTTCAGTCAGGCGCAGCTGAGAAAGGAGGCTGAGCAGTCGTTCGTCGTCGTCCATGATAGTTGTAGACAAGAAAGGCTTGTCAGAAGTTCTGAAGATGCGCATGTGAACTGTTGATACCGCCGCATGACACAACCTTTATCTGTAAGCGTGAAGCGCGATTATTCCATCACCGGAGATATCACAGCGCTTACACAAAATGCGGCTGAGTAGGCGAAAGAGAAATAAACCATAACAGTCTTTCGCTCGAGCCCTACCCCTCCGCACGCTTGACACATTATCACAATCAGTTCTTGTTCTCCTGTGAGTGGGCTCTGTAGCCAAACAGAGCCTTGGACTCATTGCATGCAGACTCCAAGATGGTCGTTTTGAGCAACACATTCAGCAAGAAGCGTAAAAACATCAAGAAGGAGCGTAGGAGTCTGCGCCTGTGGGCTGAGGGTGCACGAGAATCCATCCTCCTGAGACACTTGCAACGTGTGTCGGATGCCAGACTGCGAGGCACATGGGCCGAAGAACGCGCTGCAGTACAAGCCGCCTGCAACGAATATCATGCAAGAATTTCATGGATGACGCCGGATCACATTGAGCCCGAAGTCATCCATGACTACGACCCGAAGGCACCAGCAGTGGAGGAGACATTGACAGAGGAGGAAGAGCAACAGAAGCGGCGCCTGATCCAGATGTACAACGCGGTTAGTTCCATGTGACCGTGACAATGACAACAAACTCATCCCTTGCCACAGCGCATCACTCGGTGGTACGCGTATCGCATTCGCCGAACTTTGAAGAAGAATCGCGAAGTTGGCCTTGATCCTCGCAAGAACCCGTATGCCGTGCTGCTGGGCAAATTGTCTGGCCTGACGCAGGCACCGAAGGCGCGTCAGGCGTTCCAACAGTTTCAGCGCGAGTCATGGTCTGAAATTGCCCCGGTGATTGCTGCCCGTCGCGCTGAGCTGCCGAAGGGTGCACCGTATCGTGTCGGCTTCCATTCAAGTGTGGTGCGAGAGCTGTTTTCCAAGCTAAGCCCCGAGGAGCAGGAGGGACTTAAGCAGCGCGCGTCGGCAGAGGCGGAGGAGAAAAAGAAGGCGTATTTGGACGCAATGAAGGCTTTACCCTCACGAGACCCTGTTAGTCGACACAAGTGCGTCATCATTCAATGGCAGTCTCGCAATCGTTCTGACTTGTTTGTAGCGCTATCGCAGCAATCAGGGCCTTCATCTTCCCAATTCTGGAGGGAATCTTCAAGCACACTGGCTTGCATGCAACGCTCATTGTCGGCGGACCAATGCCTGAGTTTGGCGGCGAGATACGGACCCAGGTGTACGTCTGCCACTTTGTACGTTCATGTGTAAGTAAGACTGATGGTCGAATAGTATCTCCTACGGTGACAACAAGGCCACCGCTCCAGTATCCTGGGCAGAATGGGACGAGGGACGCTTCTCCAGCGATGTCTTGAACTTTTTCATTGAGTACCTGAAAACAGCATACAGTATGTGCTACATTGTGCGTGTAGGATATCCGTGCTAATAGACCCATAGCAGACAGGGATATTGATGCTGCCGCACTCCCACAAGACGTTATGGACACCCTGATCCAGGAAGGAAAGCTGTACACACTCGATAAGAAGCCGAAAGCCAATGAGAGCCCATCATCTGATGAGGAAGACGATGACGAGAACGTCAACTCGAGCGACTCGGGCTCTGATGCCGAGACAGACGCGGACGACGCTGCGCTAGCAGATGCGGTGAAGAAGAAGAAGGAGCGATACGTGCGGGAGGGTGGTGGCAAGGCTTCAACTGGGGGTAAGACCAAGAAGAAGGACAAGGATGTGACGGCGTTGTCCAAAGCCTCATCAAAGGCAGTGTCAAAGCCATCCACGGCTGCACCACGACCAAAACCCAAGGCCAAGAAAGGAACACCCTCCAAAGCTGCCTCACTGGGTGCCTCGACATCATCTTCCACTCCTGCGCAGTCTGAGAGTGCTACGTCTGGACATGCACCTCCCGATTCCACATCTCCCAATCCAAGTCCAGTCTCTGATCCAGCGTCGCCTCCAGCATCTCCTTATCGTGGCCGACCTTCTGCACCTGCGTCTCCACGATCAGCATCTCCCAATCTTGCGTGTGCGTCCCCACCACCAACATCCCCCGAGCCTCCATCAGAACGATCACCCAGTCCCGAGCCCGCTCCTCATCCGACAACTATCACTATCGAGTGTTCGTTTGGCCCCGTCACATTTGCTGATCCGCATGCGCACCTCCGAGATGATCAATTAACATACAACCAACAACGTGCCCGGCTTGCAGCCCGAAATGGAGCCATGATGGAGGCACTCAACCTGAAGCATGCGGTGGCTAGAGCCATGACAGAGGATGGTCATGGGGAGCAGCCAAAGAAGTCAGGGAAGAGAAAGGCGTTGGTGAAGGAGCAACCAATTGCACCGGAGAAACGAAGGCGTTCGTCGCGTCTCCAGAACAGTAGGGGAGGGAAAGGCAGCTCTCAGACGCAGGAAGAAGAGGATGAGGCTGTGATGGATGTGGATCCTGCTGCCTCTGCCGGCGCTGGATCAGGAGCCATGGAGATGGATGTGGACCACGCTGTTGGGAATGGAGACAGCTCTGGAGACACGCCACTGCAAGGTGCCGACAGCAGCAACCATTCAGCGGGCTTTTCAAACAGGAGTGGCGACCCCGTTTCGGATGACATCACTGTTGTTCCCACGACATCCACTGAGCTAGAGGCTGCAAATCATGACCCGTGCACTTTGACCACCAACCGAGACGCTGCCACGCCGAGCGAGGTAGCACCAGAGCCCCTCAGTACACGTCCTGTTTGCCCCACAAAGGCTGCTGTCTGGTTCCAGGACGCGCATAGGAAACTTACAGCAATGGATCTTGGACCACAGTTTGACGCTACTGTAGCTGCGTGGTCGCGCGTAGAAGATGCATCCCGATACGCCTCATGCGACACCGGACTTCCTGCTGAATCTCGGCCTGCAGCTGTTACAGCGTGGATTCGGAGCAAGAGGACAAAGATCCCCACGGTACTTGACATCGACGCGTTCACGAGCCAGTGGGATACATGGTGGGCATCCCTGCAGCCAGAATGGCGGGTCAAGGATACTGTCAGTGGATCAGGCTGGTCGCGCGGGGAATATGGTGGTGATGGCCGAGAGTGGGGCCCGCTTTATACGTGGGGTCAAAACGGCGTGCAGACTGTCGTGGCGGCGCTTTACATGTGGGGTCTGCATGTTTCAGAGACAGGAAGTGCAGAGCAGAAGACCGCGTGGGTGGAGGCAGTGGAGGATGTTGGGTGGATGCTGGAAGGCCTGGCTGGTTTCTATGAGCTATGGAAGAAACATGGTTCCTGGTAGCACTTTTTCGTAGCATGTAATGATAACAACGTAATTGCAGGCAAAACCGGCCCGTGAATCCCACCGCTATGCATATGCTGTGAGTCTACATATCCGTCATGTGATCAGAAGGCTGTGCTAGAGACGCCGAGAAACACATTTCTGGGCGTCTCCAGCACAGCCACTCAATCTTGTATTTAGCTTGCTCATAGGTAGCCTGCTGGTCCTTCAATTCAACAAATAGTTTGGGGATAATTAGGGAACTAGCTTGGAGACTATGTGGGCCTCCATAGGTGGCAATGATCAACCTGCCGCCGTTGGGCGCATGTATTGGCGTGAGATCAACCCACTGCAATGTGTAAACCTGCTACGCAAGCACAAACAACTCAGCGCACCGTGGTATGTAATCACAGCAGACACGTGTATAAGCATAGTATAGTATCAACCCGCCGCGATGCGCAATCTCAGTGGGTACATGTATTTGCATGCAATTCCCTGGCGCAATGGGTAATCCTGCTGCGCACGCGGGAAATCAGTGCGCCGCGATGCGTGATCACAGGGGGCACGTGCATCAGCGGGTTAGCGCGCCGCGATGTGTAATCCCACCATGTCTCATCCTAAATCCCAGTGCTATGGCTCGAGGCATAATCCCGCCGGCACGTGCATCAGCGGAAAAGCAGCCTGCCCCGATGCGCAATAGTACGCCGCGATGCGTAATCCCGGTGTGCACGTGTATCAGCCGCAAATCAACCCGCCCCGATGCATAATCGCGCTGCGCACGTGCATCAGCCGCAAATCAACCCGCCCCGATGCATAATCGCGCTGCGCACGTGCATCAGCCGCAAATCAACCCGCCCCGATGCCTAATCCCGATGGGCACGTGAACACGCCGCTACCTGATGAACTGATCGTGGTGGCGGCAATGGATATAGTGATGCGCTAACTACGTCAAGATCATTATTAATCCCGCCGCTCATCATTGAGGGCCAAGCATCACCCATCATCATCATCATCATCATCATCAGCTCGCGTGCCTACATGGCCGCCCTTGCATCACATATATGGCGGCAGGAGCAGCACAGCCACGGCCCATGGCTAGCACCATACGTTAAGATGGAATTCCTATGGCTAGCACCATGTCTCATTATCATAAATCCTAGTGCTATGGCTCGAATCTGACAGTCCCGGTGGCTATGCGAATAGCCGCAATTTGAATATATAGTATATGAAGAAGTTCAGAACATGAAGAAGTTCCGTAGTCTTGTGGAAGGCTCGCCAATCCGATGGACTCTGTATCGATTCGCTTCCCGCGCAGAAAAATTGCGCCATTGAGTTGGTTAACAACACACGTTGGAGCCCCCAGGTCCGCGCAAAACGCCTGTCATGCATGCTTGGATGCATCCTACTGGTCCATCTCCAACTCTGGGCCTGATTGACGAGAAGGCCTCGGGCTGCTTCTTTCTTCTCCGCGCTCGAGGGTTTTGATCCGGTATGCCCTGCCGGTACATTTTCAAGTTTGTCTACGATTGTGGGAACATGGCGCAATATTTGGGGATCCAGATCTCGGTGTTGACGAAGAGATGTTTAGACGTCTGTTGTTTTTATTTCTTTTTGCGATGGAGGCCGATAATCTATTGAAGGCCTTGAAGACGATTGAGTAGGAATGAGTCTGTAGTTTTCCCACAGGTGATGGATGCGTGTCCCTCACTTTTGAATTTTCCTGTGCCATGCCATATAAATGGTGAAGTATTTTTCAAAAGCTGGGATACTGAAGCCGAATACCTAGCCGTCTCCAAGAGATGTCTTGGATGCATCCACGGCCTGGCTTGAACGACTGGTACTGACTTGACATATCCGGCCGATCCATGTCGGCTCGAACTCCTGACCGCGACCGGTAAACCAGTCTACAGTAGATGATACTGGACTCGAATCGTTTGTCACAGCGAACGCTTAGAAGACAGGGGCTTACAAAGTGCTTCCGTGTGAAATTGCCTTCCGAGGAGGTAGAGCTGATCTGACAGCTTCGCATGGTACGTGTGTCGATCCGCGGCCCTTGAGCTCTTGCTTCTTCCCGGTTCAATGTAAGAGCCTGGTGCGAGGACAATGTCGAAGTGGAGTCGCCAATGCCAATCGGGAGATTTCTAGGACTTGCATTTCGCATTCTTGGCCATCTGGAGACTCATCTGGCGCATCATCGGTACGCGATGTTTTCATGCGCTGTCAGCTTGAGACGTCGAAACCGGCTCCAGCGCTGATTCAGGAAGTGAAGAAACGTGTGTGAAGCCTGCGGAGCGTTTGTGGGACATGGCCACAGCCCGGCTCCGTTTCCAAGTTCCTCATCCAGCGCGATTACGACTCAGCCACCTCCGAATCTCGTCATCGCTGCGCCGCAGTCTATTAACGGGTGCTCGATCCCGCGAACTTTGTCGCATGAGACACTGCCCGCAATTCAAACCATCTGGTTCGGAGTCTTGTGACAGGAGAAAATTATGGGACAGCAACGGCGGAGGTAGAGTAGTTTGAGTGCTCCCGGACTTTGTGTCGGTGCTCTGTAGAAGCTCCGTGACTACTGTCACTTCCTTGAGGAGGTGATAGGTGGGAGCCTTCTAGCCGCGGTTCGAGCGAAGCCGAGACCAGTGTTTGGTAACTAACAAAGGGAGTGCGTCGTGTAAACTTTCATGCCTCTAAAAATAGAACTCGGGGCCGACATTGGGATAGCGCAGTGCCCAAGATTTTTTGCTTTGTTTGAAAATTTAAGCAGGATTTCAAGAGGGTTCTGAGAAATAGATGTGCACGCAAGCCGTTCAAACCCGTTCCAATATGGCGATGAGGCAATCCTGATGCTTCATCATGCTTGGATAATCTCAGAGCAGCCACCACCACGGATAGCGTTCGTATTGAAGACGTGCCCGCGTCGACCAGTCATCTGAAAACTCTGACATGGAGGTAGGTGGCGAGATGCGAGCTCAAATGAGGCCGACACACGCTGATGTGCTGTATCATAGCTTTCTTCTCGCCCGATCTGCGCCAGGTAAAGACTCCCAACACTCCTCAAGAAGACGTGGTTCGGCGCTTCGAGTATAACATGGGTACCGAGGCGATCCTAGAGCCTCTGCTGGCCCATGAATTCTTCTGGGGCTCCGGAATCTCGCACTCGTATCTATGCAGAATATGGATCTTTCGGCTGGCTTTCAGCCCATTTATTCCACTGATCGGTCTGACAGTCTTGATTTATTCTATGCGCGGGTTCGCGCGATTATGTCTCCAGTCTGAGTCGTTTCTTGGATGGGTTTCTATCATGAGTGAAGAGTCTTTGCCGTCACGATCGGCGTTCTCTTAGTGCAACAATGTCACCCACGCGGACTGCGCCATAACAGTCATGAGGAGCTGCTGTGCGTGACGCGGCTCCTTCAAGCAGTGGGCTTTTCGTTCGTCTTGTCAGTTGTTTTGCTTACTTCATGCTACGCGAGCACCGACATTGTTTGCGGATGTGGGACGGTATTTATGACTCCGGTGGCAGAATATTGCCATTTGCGGCTATCGGCTACCGGGCTTCTGTATGACGCAATTTAGCCGATGCCAGTCTTAGGCCTAGGGAGGCCCTCGGACACTTAGGGTGAACATCCTGCCAAATAGAGTAAATCTGAGCAAAATCTTTGACTTTTCCCCTCCGCATAATAGAGTAAAAATGAGCATTTGGGGTCCATAACCCTCTCTAAATAGGGTAAAAGTCGCGCGTAGTGCGACTGATTTTGGACATTTACCCCCCAGCTGCGGTCAAAAGTTGCTCAACTCTGGAGATTACGGGCAATGCCAAGGAGCTTTCAGAGACTCCTCGAGGGCAGGGGAAAGCACGTAAATAGACCCAGATCATAGCCGTAGTCGGTAATGGCCCAGGCGGAAAAATGGATTTACCCTCCGAAAATAGAGTAAAAGTTGGCCAAAACCCAGAAAAGTTTAGAGTAAAAGTATCCGAACCGGTGGAGGATGTTCATATCAAGTGTCCGAGGGCCTGCCTAGGGTCTTCGAGAGACCGGAGAGACCGCACGGCGCGTGGATTCTTTTAGGGAGGTTGAATTCTTCGAGGTTCCAATCGACGTCCACCCTTCTTCGAAGCGTATCCATGATGTGACCACCGGTCTCACTGGGACGGGAGTGATACATTCAAGTCCAAAATTAGCTGTCACACAACCGAATCCCGGATCTTCATACGCGACCATGAAACACGGAGCAAAGTCACGTGTTTTCGCGAGTAAGTGCTTATGCCTGACAAATGCGAAGTTCGCAAACCATGGTCAGCAAGAAAATGAGCGTAACCTTCAACGGAGTCGCAACATCGAAGGTGATGGCGGAACAGGTCGGATGACAAGTCCACCAGCGGCCCTCCACCATGTTTTCTCCCTCCGCGGTATTTTCGTCTTCGGCGGTCTCGAACGCCCTCGGGCCTCAACTGCACGATGGGCGTCGCATCGGATAATTAGTAATTGTTTTCTAATTCTCACAGATTCTTGTCCTTGGAACCCGATTCAACTTGTGCTGCCGTTTCGCAGCCGACGGACAGAATCCCGTAGCCTGACATCACCGTATTCACGTTCGATATCCACTCCTTGCAAAACACGCTGGAGCTGCGAAGGATCGATCCGCTAGCATATACACTGTATGCGAGGATGAGGTGGTTTGTCGGGTTACCATGCGGTGTTCTGTGATTTCTCAGGAATTCTCGGTGACGCTGACGGGCGGAAGGCAGAAAGATGCGGGGCTCAAATCGGTGACGCGAAAGCACTATGAATCATGATGTGGTAGACGAGAGGACTGTTCGTCAGAAATGAGCCAGGTCACACAGCCGCTGGTCGGCATCTATCATCATCACCTCACAGGTAGTCAATTACCGAGGACCCAATCTCCGTGAACTGCCGGGAAAAGCTTTTTGACAATTCAGAGACGCGCAACATATTCGACTGATTCTTGCAGATGGAGGTAACAGATTCAGGGAGGTCATGATGTTGATCTTGCTCCGTTCTTTCAGATCGCTTCTGGGTCTCGATCACTTGCATATGGTGCATGGAGACGTTCCCGTCTGCTCGCTTCTTTGCTCTCATAACGCGTGCAGAAGAATGTGATGTTTTTTTGGTGCTTAACAGACGCGGCGCTCGCGAAGATCGCTTAAAACTATGGGTCTGTAAGTGGGCTCGATAGACCAAAAAGTCCCCTCCTCTCATTACTCGCTAAGCGCTTCCACACGAAATGCAGCTCATCACTGGCCCTGTGGTTCCTCCCACCCACTCTCCACGTACCGAACTCGATGCCAGTGTGACTTCCGTCTACCCCATGACCAGGGCTCAAGAGGGGATCTGGATGGCTTACTCTGCTCAGCCACAGCACACCCTGTACAATTTGACAATGAAATTCACATTGGCATCCTCGGACACCTACTCGATGGAGAAAGTTCTAGCGGGTGAGGACATCGGCGATCTCAGCCTCGGACTGTGCACTCACTGGACATCACAGGCATCCAGACCCTCACCGCGCGTCACGGAATACTGCGGTCCACCTTCCACGGCAACAAGTCGGTGCTGTCCCGCCCATTCGTCGCGGAGTGGGACGCCCAGTCCGCGCTGCCGTCGGTCCGAATCGTCGCGGGGCCGAAGACGGCCATCGCCAAAATGCATTTGCAAAAGCTGCTCCACCAGGCTGTGCCGCTGTCGGAAGAGTTTGCTGTGCGCTGGCTCGTCGTCGAGCTCCAAGGCGCCATCGAGGTATATGTGATTGCGCATCACATTGCCCTGGACGGAACGAGCATGAGCGAGCTCAGTGGTGAGCTCCTGTGTCTGCTCGACGGGAAGGCGGAGGAGAGCAAGCCGATCGGCGAGGTTTTCCAAAAGGCTCATATGATGGAGGTGCGTTTTTTTGATCATTCGTCGTTGCTTAATGAATTCTGATCCGGTGCAGTCTGTGTTCCGAGGATCCGGTGCGTTCCAGCTGGCCAAGGAGTTCTGGCTCTCGCAAAGCCGGAATACCTCGTCGATCCAGTGGAAAGGCGTGCCCAAGGTGCCCGAGTCCCAGAACTACCGTGAGATTGCGAGATGGTCCGAGTTCAGCAAAGACGTGCGTGCGCGTGTCACCTCCCCGGTGTTCCAGTTGATTGACCGGATGTCACGCAGCAACTGGCGCAATGGAGCGCGCGGCATCGCACGTCGTGGTTCAGGGTCGCGCTGGCCGTGGTCGCACTCCTCACCGAATCGCACTCCATCGTAGGCTCGTCCCGCGATCAGACGCTGACGGTGGCGTTCGGCGGCCGTCCCAAGGGTCTTGATCGAACCGTGGGACATTTTGCCAACGCACTCCCCATCCGGGTCCCGGTGTCTCATCTGATCCGATCATCGTCCACCATCACCTTCGACGCGCTGCTCCGCCTGCTCTCGACCACCGTGTCGACTGCGAAGAAACATGAGCGGTTCTCGTTCACGGATCTATCGCAGGCGTGCCTCGAGGAGGGCTGCATGCCGCCGCGGGCGCAGGTTGCGGTGACGCTGTCTCCGAAGCTAGAGCGCGAGGAGTGTGAGCTGTACCCCGTCGAGGGCCCATATGATCTCTTCTTCTGCTTTTTGGAGGCCTCTGACAGCGTCTCTCTCGGAGTGAGTCTATCTGCTGGTCATTCAACCGTGAAACTCACAAGCATGTCCCAGGTTATCTACGACCCGACGCTGTTCGACCAGAAATCGATTGCGGCGCTCAAGGTCGACTTTGACCGGATCGTGGCCCAAGCCATGGCAGAGACGCCTTTCGATCTCCAACCGCTTCTGGGGAACCGCATCCCATATCTGCTGCCGCCTATCGACACGACCGACGCGGGCCAGGTCAGCAAGCGCCGTTTCCATGTCATGTTCGAGCACCAGGCCGCTCGCAATCCCGCCGCGCTTGCCATGAGTTGTGCGGAGCGAGACGAGTCCATGACGTATGGAGAGATGAATGAGCGCGCGAATCAGATGGCGAACGGTCCGTTTATTGTCCCCCCGTGTGTGGCCCCGAGGTCTCATTCCTTTACAGCGCTGCGCCAATTGGGAATGGGCCGCACCCA